ATATCTCTTCGAATTAAGGAGAAACGATGTTTTGAATCGCGGACTGAGGCACAAAAACTCAACTTGAAATTTTGAAAATTGCTAAAAAAGCTGTTGTGGGTCTGATTAAATTTAAACTCACTGAGAATCTTAATAAAGCTCTTCCTCACATCGAGGAAAAAAAATCGCTCTTCTATCTCTTCTAATTAAGGAGAAACGATTTTTTGAATCGCGGAGTGAGGCACAAAAACTCAACTTGAAATTTTGAAAATTACTTAAAAGCTGTTGTGGGTCTGATTAAATTTAAACTCACTGAGAATCTCAATAAAGCTCTTCCTCACATCGAGGAAAAAAATCGCTCTTATATCTCTTCGAATTAAGGAGAAACGATGTTTTGAATCGCGGACTGAGGCACAAAAACTCAACTTGAAATTTTGAAAATTGCTAAAAAAGCTGTTGTGGGTCTGATTAAATTTAAACTCACTGAGAATCTTAATAAAGCTCTTCCTCACATCGAGGAAAAAAAATCGCTCTTCTATCTCTTCTAATTAAGGAGAAACGATTTTTTGAATCGCGGAGTGAGGCACAAAAACTCAACTTGAAATTTTGAAAATTACTTAAAAGCTGTTGTGGGTCTGATTAAATTTAAACTTACTGAGAATTTTAATAAAGCTCTTCCTCACATCGAGGAAAAAAATCGCTCTTCTAGCTCTTCGAATTAAGGAGAAACGATTTTTTGACTCGCGTACTGAGGCACAAAAACTCAACTTGAAATTTTGAAAATTGCTAAAAAAGCTGTTGTGGGTATGATTAAATTTAAACTCCCTGAGAATCTTAATAAAGCTCTTCTTCACATCGAGGAAAAAAATCGCTCTTCTATCTCTTCTAATTAGGGAGAAACGATTTTTTGAATCGCGGACTGAGGCACAAAAACTCAACTTGAAATGTTGAAAATTGCTCAAAAAGCTGTTGTGGGTCTGATTAAATTTAAACTCAATGAGAATCTTAATAAAGCTCTTCCTCCCATCGAGGAAAAAAATCGCCTTTCTATCTCTTCGAATTAAGAAGACACGATTTTTTGACTCGCGGACTGAGGCACAAAAAATCAACTTGAAATTTTGAAAATTGCTAAAAAAGCTGTTGTGGGTTTGATTAAATTTAAACTCAATGAGAATCTTAATAAAGCTCTTCCTCACATCGAGGAAAAAAATCGCTCTTCTATCTCTTCGAATTCAGGAGAAACGATTTTTTGACTCACGGACTAAGGCACAAAAAATCAACTTGAAATTTTGAAAATTGCTATAAAAGCTGTTGTGGGTCTGATTAAATTTAAACTCAATGAGAATCTTAATAAAGCTCTTCTTCACATCGAGGAAAACAATCGCTCTTCTATCTCTTCTAATTAGGGAGAAACGATTTATTGAATCGCGGACTGAGGCACAAAAAATCAAATTGAAATTTTGAAAATTCCTCAAAAACCTGTTGTTCGCCCGATTAAAACTAAACTCACTGAAAATCTTAATAAAATTGTTCCTCACGTCGAGGAAAAAAATCGCTCTTCTATCTCTTCCAATTAAGGAGAAACGATTTTTTGACTCGCGGACTGAGGCACAAAAACTCAACTTGAAATTTTGAAAATTGTTCAAAAATCTGTTGTGGGTCTGATTCAATCTAAACTCGCTGAGAATCTTAATAAAGCCCTTCCTCACATCGAGGAAAAAAATCGCTCTTCTATCTCTTCGAATTAAGGAGAAACGATTTTTTGACTCGCGGACTGAGGCAGAAAAACTCAACTGAAAATTTTGAAAATTGCTCAAAAAGCTGTTGTGGGTCTGA